GATTATGTGTGGTTTCATTTTGTTAGTACGATTTTTTAAGAATCAAAAATCATTCAAAAATATTTAATTTTGTTCTATAATATTCCAATGTTTCACTATCCAAAGTGTACTTTGGATAATCAAGATTATTGTATTATTATTTTAATGATTTCTGTTTTATTACTTTTCAATTACCCAAAAAAGTAAAATATTTTCAGAAATTATTTAAGTAGTTTTATGAAAAGCTTCCATAGTACACAGTATCTTTTAATAAAAATACAGTAAAAGAATACAACAGAAAATACACATATGTATGTGTAAGTCACACGCATTCGTTTACACACCTTCCTATTAATTTGTATAAACTACATATACCAAGTCAGTACTTAGGAAAGCAATAACATGCATTTTTCCTTACTACACCTTAATCAAATCATTAAGTTTTTAAACTCAATGAATAAAATAATGACTGTTTTTTAAACAATATATCTACAAAACAGTCGATACATTGTTTATAACCTAACAATTTATTTTAAAATTAATAATTATTTTAAACATTATACTGTAACACTTCCTTGATGTCTACATTATGTAGTACTAAATATATATTATTATTATTACTATTGCTATCGTCATCATTATTTATTACTAAGATAATTAAGTACTTAATTGAAGTGCCGGTGAATGAAACTAAATATTTTTCAATGAGATACAGTTGTATAGGAAGTTAAAAACATTATACAATCTAACATAATCATTTGTATATCGATCCATACTCGGAAATCTCACAGCACACTACTATTAACATATCACTCTTGAGACAACAAAAATTTAACATTATTTGAATAGTTGTATAAATTTGTATGTTTTCATTTGTGTCTTGAAAATATTTTTAATTAATAACATACTTTAATACAATCCGTTTATTAAACTTATTTATTTAAAATGTATTGTGTACCGGTACTACATTTTATTGTAACTTCATAATTAATTAGAATTGAAAAATCAGTTTTATTTGAAGTTGTGTGTAGTAATTTACCAATTTATACAACTATTTTTGCATATGTGTGTACGTGTGTGTGTGCGCATCTTGTAAACGTATATATATGTATATTTATACATATATATACATATAAATGTGCTTTCTAAACAACGTATTTGTATACAGTTTTTTTAAAAATCATAAAACTGATCATTTCGCTCTCGTTACATTCACCATAATTCCGGAGCAGTCTTAACCAGGACAGCAGCATAAGATACGGTAGACTGTCTGCTTAGCGTGTACATGAATTAAAGTACTATTGAGGCGGAAATACCTGTTGTAGGAATCATAATAGTCTTTCCTGTCCGTAGGTGGAGGTCCCAATGACATAAGTGGCGGTGGATGAGTTCCAGTGACTAGATGTGGCAGCAGAGGTGGTATATTATGCTGAGCTGCTTGGTTCCTTACTGAATATCTCGGAATTGGTCTATCTCGAGGTGGTAAATCCCTCTCCCGATCTCTGAATTGATAGTCATGAGCAGGTGAATCATTATAATAACTATTATATCCTTCTCTAGGTTCACGTGATCTTGGTCGATCTCTGTCACGATCCCTTTGAAATCTGTAAATATTATTCACAATAACGATATAATTACAATTTTTAATTCGAATGGATGTAGACACTTCAGCAAAAATTATTTAATTATACCTTGGAGGTGATCTGGCTGGTGATCGATATCTAGGCATTAAGTCCCTATCACGTTCACGATCACGATCACGATCACGATCACGATCACGTTCACGTTCGCGTTCACGTTCGCGTTCGCGTTCACGTTCGCGTTCTCGATCACGATCACGTTCTCGATCTCGATCTCGATCACGGTCACGGTCACGGTTCCCTTTCCCTTTCCCTTTCTCTCTCTCTTTCTCTTTCTCTTTCTCTTTCTCTATCCCTATCCCTATCTCGTGACAAAGATAATCTGGGAGATTGACTACGTGAATACGATCTGGATCTATAAAAAATGTGAAATATTGTAGTCAACGAATATTAAACATCATAAATATTAAAATATTACAAAAAATTCAATTTACCTGCTGATCGAGAAGCTTCCACTTCTTGATCTACGTTTTGGAGTACGACTCCGTGCTCTGAGAGGTAAAGGTGACCTCGAAGATCTTCTTTTTAAAGGGGGACTTCTAGATCGACTTAAACGGGGTGGAAATGGTGATCTACGACCAAATGAACGTGATCTGGATCTACTATAACTACGAGATCTTGATCGTGTCCTACTTCTTCTTCTGTGTTTTCCAAGTCTACGATCTCGTTCATCTTTTTCTCTAAGCATTCTTTCGAATGCTTCTAATGGATCATCAATTATACTGAAAATTAATATTAATATTAGAATATTCAAATTTATTTACTTACTTGAAAGATTAATTGGTATCTTTTATATAGTTGTCTTGATTAAAAGACATCAACTTACCCAGGTGGATTACCATTATGAATATTTCTACTTAATCCTGGCGGTGGTGGTTGCAATCCTCTATAGCTAACTAAAAAATTCATTACAGAAATAATTAAAATACTATAAAAAAAATATAATTCAGTAATATCGAAATACTTTGACAATTTATTCGGTTTTAAATATTAAAAAATAGATTACTAAACCAAACAGTAAAATATAAAAACATTTTGTTGATTTTTAATGATTCAGAAAGATATCCGTGAAAAAGTACACAATTAATAAAAATAAATAACTTTTTCTTTGCTGAGTAGTAACTTTGAAATTTCAAAATTACTTAAGATTTCTCTTAATTAAATTTCGTTTTCTTAATGTGGCCGTAAACAATATATGTAATCAAGTAAATTTCATTTCATTATGTGTACAATGGAAAATGTAACAGAATTTAAATCTGTTTATTAAAATACAACTTACGATGATGTAATCCCCTAATTGGCCGCGGTGGCCCACTATAATTTCGTGGTGGTTGCGAAGGTCTAAATCCTTGTTGTTGGTAAGGAGGTCTCTCATATCTTGGAGGTCCATAATGAGAACCTTGTTGATGAGGGTACATAGGTATCCGATGACTTATATATGGATCCGGCAATAAAGGTGGATTATGTGGTGGTACATTAGGTGGAGGTTGATTATAACTTGGTTGAGGTATACGATCTTCTCCTGGTGGAAAAGGTAAAAGAGGTGGCTGATTACCAGAAGAAGGCACATGTAAATGTGGTTCATCAACCTGAAATTTATGTATATATTTTAATTTAAAACTGATATATATATATATACATGGGTACGCGCATGTGTGTGTTAAATCAAAATTATATTTTAAAATATTAATAAACTTTTTAAATGCACACTACTTTTAATAGTACTAATGTAGTATATTTCAAACCTACTGTTGGAGTGCCTGGACGATCTTCAGTTGATCTACGTATGGCACTATCATAATGTATATTAGGTGGATAATGTCCATCATCAGGTGGTAATCCTTGATAATTTTTTGATGGAGGTGGGTTCATTAAATGCGGCAAAGGTGCTCCTTGAGAATTATAGTCACTATGTTGTGAATGTCTAGGAGACAAGGATCGCCTTCGATTTACTGGCCGTAAATTTTCCATTCTACGACCACGTTCTCCACTTCTAAAGCACAATAATTATGTAAAGTAAAATAAAACTACATACCTTGGTACCATAATCAAATATTTCAATTGAAAAGCTATTATTCATTTAAATTGGTTTGCTAAGTATTTATAAGCTATAAATAGTTTGTATATTATAGTATTATAGCATATTATAACTACTTATAAAATCAGTTCTATAAAATAGATTTTATTATAAGCTCTCTAAATGTATTTACCTGTCACGGTGCGCATCTCTGCTGAAGCTTCGCCTACGTTCTCTTGATTGTCTCTCTCCTGAATATTCATTCTCACGTTCTTTCTTCTCACGACTTGGGGGATCACTTCTTTCTCTATCTCTTTCTGGTGAGCTACCAATTGCAGGTATTGGAAGTAATGGTTCTGTCCCTGGAGGTGGTGGAACTTCTGTTTCCTCGTCTGTTGTCAATTTTGTTACAGAATCACTTTGCAAATCAGACTCTGATGTTGTTTCAGGAAGAGCTATTAAAAATAAATAATATTTAATAGAACGATTCGTATTCTGTGTTCCATATTAGTAAACAATTAAGCTTTCAATATATCATTTCAATAGTTGTGAAATTTTGAACATAATCTATCTTTATATTTGAGGTTAAGTACAACCTACATAAACTGGTTAAGCAAATTTGAATACAGCTTAACTACTACATAATATTGTTAGTTTATGCAATAGTTGAATTTGTTCAAATAATACGAAACAATCGAAATGTTTCTTATTATAAAAGCGAAAAAATATTAAAACCGAAT